AGCTCATTCACTGCAGAGAGGAGCCGGAGAGGGAGGGAGGGATGGAGCGCTGTATAAAGATAGCATGTGAGAGGAAGACATCACCGCCCAAGAGTTTGCCTGCATGCATATGTACATCTGTGTGTGTGTGTGTGTGTGTCTGCGCATGTGTGTTCCGCCTTTGTGTGTGTGTGTGTGTGTGTGCGATGAAAATAGACAAAACCAAGGAGAAACAGGTCGCTTCCTCCTGGAGCTTTCTGGTTTCTCTTAGTCACCACGGCAACCGCCTCCTCCCCGCATCCCTGTTTACTTATTATTCCCATACGCTCGTTTGACTCCTCTTCCTCCTCTCTCTGCTGCTTTTCTTCTTCTTTTTTGTGTGTGTGTCCTGCATCTCTTCGCCCCTCATCACCCTTCTCTTAGCGCATCTCTTTCAGTCCACCTGGCTACCTCCCTCCATCCCCACCTCTCTGCGCAGCCCCCGCACGTTTGACTTTGAACGGGGGGGATCAGAGGTCGCTTCGGCGGCCTCGAGGGGAGGGAATGAAAATGGAAATTTAATGACAGATAGGTGACGGAAAGAGAAAAACTGAAATAAAAGGCATAGAAAAGGACAGAAGCCCTTCAGCTGTAATAATAATAACAGATAATCCTGGAAAGAGAAGGTGGTGTGAGGTTGGAGGTGCAGATTCACAGCTTAAAGCTACTCTACAATATCTAGAAAGGATTCAAATATTAAAAGACGTTTGTTTTTATACAGCAGATAGAAAGATAAAAATACGACTTCCACAGTGTTTGGCCTCGAGCTGATGTTAAAGATAAATCAGAGCGTGATGAAAACCTGCCGTTAGGCTCGACAAGGTCACCGTAAACTCAATATGTAACAGCCTGTATGTACCTGGGAGCAGTTAGGATTACACGGCGAGGTTCGATTTGAATATATGAAATAAAAACAGACATTAAATGATAGATAAGTGACAGAACATGAAGTAAGTGTACAGGACGAAAGCAGATTAGACGTACCAAAGCGATGAAATACGGTTTAATATCTGACTAGAAATACAACAGAAGCTGCAAAAGTGCTGTGCAGTGTAAAATATCTAATTAGCACCTTTACTGGCAGTAATATGAGCAGCGTCTGGCTTTCTGCAGCACAAAAAAACATTTAATTTACTGATTTAGATCCATATTTTAGGTTTAAAACATAGTTTTTAACATTATATTGCATCAAGTTAATATTGGTGCAACCTAAAGTCAAATTAAACATAAAATAGGACAAATATCTGATATTAAAGATAAATCAAACGGAGATGAAAGGTGCCATTAAGTTTGACAAGGTCACAGTAAACTCAGGATTTAAGACCCTGCACGTATCTGGGAGTGATTAATATTAAACGGTGATGTGTGAAAAAATGGACGTTTAACGATAGATAAGAAAAAAATTGAAATGGAAATAAAAAGAAGTCACACAGGAGACGAACTGAAAGGTCACAAGCTGTCCAAGCTGTTAGAGGATGAAGATTATTCACAGAATAATAAAACTCAGACAGAAACCAAGGTGCAGCGATTATTTTAATATAAAGACAGATGTGAAGCTAATATTTGGAATTACAAAAGCTTCCAATGACTCCAAAAAGTCACGTCTGACCTCAAAAACTAAATAAATTAATGCAATATTAAATCAAACGTATCATTAATAATCACATACTCAATGTTTGGTAGAATAAACAACTTTTTAATTGATTTTTCATTTTTTAAAACATTGTTTTGAACTTAATTATCATCATTATGAGTTTTAAATGTGGCTGTTTGTAATATTTACTCACTTTGTAGTTGTTCCTGCTGCTATTTTCATGTTATTTAGCAGAAATATTCAAGTGTGACGTACCTAATTACCATAATTATGAGCACAGGGTTTTAAAAGTTTTAAAGTTTTAAGTTGCTCCTGTGTTCAGCAGGTCCAGCAGGAAACTTGGAATCCTGACGTCAAGGTGGAGAAAAATTAAGTTATCGGGCCAATTTCATCAAGTTACTGCAACTTCAGTTTAGTTTAACATCAACAAATGCAGAAATTTGAGCATAAATCACACAAATGATTAAACCGGTGGAACATTATTATGTCAGTTAGACCCACATAAATAATGTTTGCAACTTAAAACATGCTTTTTTGTCTTGCAGTCATGCATTTAAGTGGGAATAAGTCACCAAAGAGTTATATTTTCATATAAATGTTGTGCTGTTTGGTGTTTATTGGGCATTTAGTTGTTTCAAGTTGTATTGCATGTTTTATAAAAGAACATTCTTGGTGTTTTAATCACTTTTTAAGTTGGCGCTTTTTAAAACTTAAGTTGCTCCAATAAAGAAAAAAACAAAACAAAAAAACAGCAACGATCCAATTTCATTAAGTTGCATCAACTTAAATTTAGCTTAAACATAAAAGTGTGAGTTTATATCACACACAATATTGAGTTGATGCAACATCTAAACAATGTTTGCACCTTAAAAGTTGAATTTTACTCTTAGAGCCGTACATGTAACGAAGTTTTTAGAGTGTAGAAGTCGCTGATGGTTTATAATACAACATAAATGTTGTGTCATTTGACATTTATTTGTTCCAACTGGTATTTCTGTGTTATTGGAGAGAAATATTCAAGTGTCATGTTGGCATTAAGCCGATTTCATCAACGTACATCAACTTTAATTTAGTTTTAAATCAACTAATGTAGAAGTTTGAGTTGAAATGATTCACAATATTGAGCTGATGTAACATTATTCTGCCAATCTAACCCATCTAAGCAATGTTTGCACCTCAAAAGCTGCATTTAATGAAGTGGGAAGAATCTGTTTGTTTATTTATTTATTTGTGTAGAAGTCACTGATGACCTATAATCCAATATAAATGTTGTATTATTTGGCATTTATTTGCTCCATCTGGTATTTCTGAGTTATTTAAGAGAAATATTGAACTGTTAGGTTCATAATTATCTTACATTTTGTAAGTTGGCAACATTTTTAAAACTTAATTGGCTCCAATGAAGACAAAAAAAACGTCACGAATCCTTTTTTTTATCAACTTAAATTTAGCTTTAAAGTTTAAATTACACAGTATTGAGTTGATGCAACATTATTCTGTCAGTCTCACCTAAAAGCTGGATGTTAGATAATTAGACAGAAGACTAGTGGCCTTGAATGATCTTCTGGCTTCATCTCAGCTCGTCCTGATACTAAACTGACGGAACATGTGGTGAAGTTTAACAAGGTCACTGTAAAGTCACCGCCTAACACCTGGTAGCATCCCTTCATGCTCTATTATTAATCTGATATTATGGTCTGTGAGTTGGTGCTGGCATCAGGCTGTTCCCCTCATCCTCCCTCCCCGCTCCTCCGTGCGCCCCCCGCCCCGCTCCGCCCCTCCGCCTCTTCCAGCGCGTCGCATCGCCGAGCAGCCGGGAACCGCACGACGCAGCGCCACAGCTCACCTGGCTCCGCCGACACATCGCTCTGCTCAGCGGCCGAAGGAGGGAAGGAGGGAAGGAAGCGACGGACCGACGGAGAGCCCCGACGCAGCCATGCCGAGCGGAGAGTGAGGAGTAAGGGGAGGCGGAGGGGGGGAAGTCCAACACTGCGGGTGTGTGTCCGTGCGTGTGCCTTGGGGGGTGGCCTCTCCACATCCCGGTGAAACACCTTTCCGGGGGGCTCGGAGCGCGCCTCGGCACCATGATGGACGGCCGGCCGCCGCTGCTGCTGCCGCTCCTGGCTCTGCTCGCCATTGCGGGAGGTGAGTAGTTTTTGTGCGTTTTAGCGGCTCCACCGATGCGCTTTCGTGTGCATCATCTTCACCACCATCCTCATCCTCCTCATCACCTCTGAGGGCCAAAAAAAAAAAACACCGCGCGTTCAGGGAATGAGTGAAAACAAAAGGCTTAGATGGAGGTGGAGGAAGAAAAAAAAAAAAACCGACTCTTTCACTGCTGCTGTGTCACCATCTTCCTCAGCGAGGAGCGGATGATGTAGTGGAGGAATATTACCCGCACAGTGCGCACAGTGTGGACACATTAGCAAATGCTAACAGGATTTGCATTGTGGGATTAAAAACTAAAAAACTAGAAGAATTCAGGAGGCTGCTGTGCGTAAAATACGCTTCTGCTGCTGCTAAATGCACATTCAACGGAACAGGCGCACATTAAAAGACGTTTGCTGCTAATTACTTGCACGCACATCATCTACAACCTCCAAAAATATATATAAGAGAGAAGGAAATCCTGTTATCACTCCCTCTCATTCTATCTCATTAACACTGAGGTCCTGCGTTGAGTGGGCAGGTTAATGAGAGGCTTGTTGGGCTGAAACAACTTCTACATCCTGTCAGCAGAGGACGAATGATGTGTCACCCAGCAGGAAGGAGGGGGGGGGGAAATAAAAAATAAAGCCTCCAGTCTGAGCTCAAACTGCCTTTTTGTGTTTATGGAGGACTTGTATTTACGACGTGGCAGCAGCAGTGCATTTGGAGCGAATTAGGTTAAGTGTTGGGAGCTATTAGGGTGTATTTTACCTCCGTTAGCCGCCTTAATCTGCTGTTGGTTTCAGCTGATTGCCTTCATATTTCCCAGCTCGATCCATAGTGGTGACAGTTCAGCAGCCGGTTCAGTGCCTCAGGAGGGAAAAAAAAAAAAAAACGAAGAAGAAGAAAGAAAAGAAGTGCCTGTCACGGCCACGTTAACACACCTCCGTCCACGCAAACACAACACACACGCCTGGCCATCTGCCTGCACTGACTAAGTGTTCATCATCAGCCATGGCGACAACATACTCCAGCTTCCTCTGACACATCACAACACGTCCAGAGCAGAGCCGCAAGGATTCACATCGATCAGAGGCCAGTTTGGGCAGAAACTAATCCCCGTTTGGTTAAAAGATAGTCGACGTTCTCTGATTATTGTCTGATGATGGATTATCTTTAAGGCTGGGGACAAAACAGTTGTCATCCTGGGCTTTGGAGCGATATGTTTCACCATTTTGATCATCGGTTAATTGGTTTTAGTGAAAAAATTGTCAGATTATAATCTGGTTTCTCCTGTATGACAGTCAACTGGATATCTTTGGATTGTAGACAAAACACTGGACATCTTTGGGAAACACCGATCGACATTTTTCACTAGTTTGACAATCAGTCAGTTTCTGATTGAAAAAAAAATCTTTAAATTATTCTCTTCCTGGAAACTAAATATCTTTAAATCGTGGACGAACCATTTGACAGGTTTGGGAAACACTGGAAGATATTTTTCACTATTTTCATAACCAGTTAATCAGCTTTTGGTTTTAAAAAAGTCTAATTTCTCAGATTATTCTCTTTACATCTTTGGCTTGTGGACAAAACAGTTCTCATCTTCGGCTTTGGGATACAATAATTAATATTTCTCACTATTTTCAGAATCAATTAATCAGCTTTTGGTTTAAAAAAAAAACAAAAAACTCTATATTCTCAGATTATAATCCGGTTTCTCTAGTATGACAGTAAACTGAGTATCTCTGGGTTTGACATCTTTGAGAAACAATAATTTTTCACCATATTCTTTCCAAACAAACAATCGATTATTGGTGCCGATAACCGACTATTAAACTAATCGTTAGCTATTATCTAGATATGTGATAAGAAATGAATCAACAGAGTTTTAATCAGCAACTATTCTGATAACAGGATCATCGTTTTTGAAGAAAAACGCGAGGATTCGTTGCTTTTGTTTGATTATAACGTGATACTAATAATAATAAATAGTCTTCTTTGGGTTTTGCTGAACCAAACAACATGCTTCATGTTTTCCCAACAGGCGGATTATGGAAGCTAATCAGCAGATTATTAAAAAAAAGAAGGTTAGTTGTAGCCCGACAGAGAACTCTGCTAAATGCAGCAAGCAGCTAATGATCTACACATTAGTGGACGGATTTATATGAGAAAGTTTGGGCTGCTTCAACATGTTTTGAAATTTACGTCACAACTTTATTTATATGAGACACAAACACAAAATGATGGATTCATAAAAAAAAAAAAAATTCTGGGATTTTCTGAGCCTGGCTTAGTCTAGTCTGACTCAGCAGGATGCAGGATGCAGGTATGAACCAGCTTTGTTGTTCCTTCTGCCACCTGTGTGTTGCTTTTTTCTTCACTGTCGGAAACAAGAAGCTACAGGAGAAACCTGCACCCTGCAAAGGTTTGAATCTTGGAGCCCTGCTAGTTTTTTTTTTTTGCAGTGGTTAGATCGTTGTCTGACTCAGCCTGGTCTTGCTTTGCCATAGATTTTGTGCATCTCAGTGTTATTGTACTATAATAGCGCTTTGGCTTGTTTGTATTTCTTTTAACCAATCACAGTCGTCGTAGGCGGAGCTAACAGAAGGCTTCAGTGTTTACTCAAAAAAGCGGCGAGTGGGAACGTTTTGCCGGAATATTTGTGTACAGGGACGTGGGAATGGTGATGAAAATGGAAAATCTAGCAGCGTTTTCTTACTGCTCGATCCGGATTTTTTGCAAAATGTGAAATTTTCGGTATGCAGGCTGCTGTTGAGAGGCAGCTGTCGTCGTTTCCTGTAAGTAAAGTGGATATGAAAGATTTCAACACACAGATAGCGGAAAGAGAAGTTAAATCAGCAGCCAGTAGCGGGATTAAACCTGCAGTCAACAATTAGGGAAGTCAGACTAACATTTCATAGACCACGCAGCTGACCAATTAATCGAAAAAGCTATCGATAATAATAAAAATAATCAGTAGCTACAGCCCTGTCCAGAAACACAAAAAACAAAGTAAAAGGTCAAATGCTTTAAACTTATCGATGCCTCCTCAATCCAAACAAACCAGGAGTCGACTGATTATCGATATGCAACATCTTTCAGATTATCTCAACAATTATTGTTCTTTAACTGATTCCCAATCAAGTGAATTAATTTAAACTTGAGCTGCTCTGTTTCTGAAGCTGTCTGCGGTCTCAGGTACTGATTGGTTACACATCACATGTAACAGCCAATCAGCACGGGAGGACGAATATCCTAAAGTTCTCGTTTGATCAAACTAATGTAGTACGTTGGGGTATAAAAAGCCTCTTCATCGTCGCATTTTAAACTTTAAGCAAATCATTTTACGGCATCGCGATTAGATGCTGTGAATCGAAAATGCATTCCAACAACTCGTAACGTGACTTTGCGTGATGTAAACGCACCTTTTAGCATCATCAAACATACGTAGAACGTGAGCTAACGAAGGCGTTTCAATAAAGTTTTACGTGGGAATTTGTGTTTTCGTGAATTTCGACATCAAGATTGAACTTTTTACGACAAATCTATACGGATATCGGTTCCAAATATCAGTTATTGGTCAACTTGATTAGCAGTAGTTGGTGTCGCACCTGAAAAAAAACACATCGGTCGAAGCCTAAACCAAACATGCAGTTTTTAATTTTTAATTCTAAGAACCAGCTTGGAAAGTCAGGTATTTATTTAAAAGTAAAGTTGAGTTAAATGCTTCATTTTGCAGATTTAAAAGCTCATAATACAAAAAAGTGCGTTAAATATGAAGTGGTCAGCGCTAAAATGGAGATAATTGAAGACCAATTTGAGTCGCAGTTTCTATAAAATTAAACAAAATGTCAGAAAAAATAAAGCTAGCTAAGAGAAACGTACATATAGCGCTAGGAGTGAAGGATTACAGGTAAATAATAATCAGTAATTGGGATTTTTCTGTCAAATATTGATTAAAAAAAAAAAAAAAAAGTCAAGCTTCACTTTAATATCGACTGTAACAGATTTAAAACATGCAACACTCTGCATGAGCTAAATGCTAACGTGCAGCATTTCTGCAAAATGCATTCTTTGAAATAACGATTAATAGAAGCAACTGTGACATTATCAGATGCTAAGAGGCCGTTCTTTGTCTGTAAACTCGCACAATATCCGTGTTTTTGTGGAGTTCGATCAGAGGAATCTGGAAGAGAAAACGCTGCCGACATGAAATATCACTTTAAGGAGCCTCACAAGCAGCGGAGTCCTAATGAGTCATCTTCCCTTAAGGGAGAAAATCTGATTAGCATCATCCTCAGAGACTCGAAACTCTGTCCACACTCAGGCATGTTTGCAGAGAAGCTCACATGGCCACACACACACACACACACACACACACACACACACCTGGAGCTCAGAATAACACAATTTTTTAGAGACTCCCTGCGAGGAAGCAGATTAGAAAAACACGACATATTCTTAGACTCGGATGTCATCCTATACATCCTCATTTATTCATGTTTGATGGCAGCCGGGCTTCATGTGACGTCCACATACGAGGGAGGAGTGTTTGTGAATTCATGCGTCTCTGTCACGCAAATAAAAACACATCCAGCGTTGGAGGAGGGAAGAAAAAAGAAAATATAACCAGCAGCGAAAAGTCACAACTTTGCACCTCCAGAGCCACGACACGACTTCCTTACGTAAGGCTTCCGCAGACGTCCACCAAGAGCGAGAGTCCTCCTCGTATTCGGTGGCCGAGCAAGGACGCTCAAGGACGCCGGAGCACCTGTCTGAGGCTGCAGGAGGATGTGGCGTCCGGCTGTGTGAGGAGGATGTCGCTTGTCGTTTCCCCAGCAGGCCATGCATAATAAACGGGTCTGTGGTGCCGAGCTGACCTGAAGCAGGGGGTGACGGGATATGGAGCAGGGCGCTGCGCCGCACCAGTCCAGGACGGGGAAACGTACCAAGAGCTTAAAGTACAGCCACCAAACAGGAGAACATCGGGCCGC